GGAGACATGTGGTAGACGGTTGGAAAGGGGAGACATGTGGTAGGGGGTTGGGATCGGGAAACGTGTGTTAGGGGGTTTGGATTGGGAGACATGTGGTAGGGGTTTGATATGGGGAGACATGTGTTAGGGTATTGGAATGGGGAGACATATGGTAGGGTGTTGGGATGGGGAGACATGTGTTAGGGTATTGGTATGGGGAGACATGTGGTAGAGGGTTGGTACAGGGAGAAATGTGGTAGGGGTTTGGGGAGACATGTGGTAGAGGGTTGGTACAGGGAGAAATGTGGTAGGGGTTTGAGATGGGGAGACATGTGTTAGGGTGTTGGGATGGGCGAGACATGTATTTGGGTGTTGGGTATTGGGAGACATGTGGTAGGAGGTTTGGATGTGGAAACATGTGGTAGGGGGTTGGGATGGGGGCACATGTGGTAGGGGTTGGAAAGGAGAGACATGTGGTAGTGGGTTGGGATGGGGAAACGTGTGTTAGGGGGTTGGGATGGGGAGACATGTGGTAGGGTGTGTTGATGGGGAAACGTGTTTTAGGGGGTCGGGATGGGGTGATATGTGGTAAGGTTTTCGGATGGAATACGTTTGTTAGGGGGTTGGAATGGGGAGACATGTGGTAAGGGGTTGGAATGGAATTATGTGTGGTAGGGGGTTAGAGTGAGGGGACAGATGGTAGGGATTTGGGATGGGAATACGCGTGTTAGGGGGTTGGGTTGGGGAGACATATGATAGGGGGTTGGGTTTGAAAGACATGTGTTAGGGAGTTGGTATAGGGAGACATGTGTTAGGAGGTTGGAATGGGATAGACATATGTTAGGAGGTTGGAATGGGATAGACATATGTGAGGGGGTTGGGATGGGGAGACATGTGTTAGGGGGTTGGGATGGGGAGACATGTGTTAGGGGGTTGGTATAGGGAGACATGTGGTAGGGGTTTGGGGATACATGTTAGGTGGTTTGGATTTGGAGACATAAGGCAGGGGGTTGGGATGTGGAGACATGTATTTTGGGGTTGGGATTGGGAAACATGTGGTAGGGGGTTGGGATTGGAGAGATGTGGTAGGGGTTGGAATGGGGAGACATGTGGTAGTGGGATGGGGAGACGTCATCGTAGGTTGGGATAGGGGAGACATGATTTGGGTGATTGTGAAAGGAGAGACATGCATTAATGGGTTGGTATATTGGAAGTATGATCTATGTTGGGGGTGGGGGTGGGGGAGACGTGTGGTAGGATGGGGCGACGTTTTAAAAGGATATTTGTAATGGGCGAACACATGTTATTACCAGAAGACATTTCAGCATCTGAACAGCTTTAAACAAAAGTGGAGAAAATAAATTAACCCTATGACACATGCCAACCTTTATGAATATATGCAATCTTCACCTCATGAAAAATCCCAAAATGACGCCCTTCTATCATACTTAGTCTGTTGTTGCAGTACTGACAGACATGTCTGTGAACCATGGGTGAACCAGTTTGATATTATATATACAGTCAAATGAGATGGATTCTGGTGATAGTTTCCTCAGCTAAGTTCCGTCTTAGATTAAACACATTGAACACATCGGAGTGATACTGTTACAGTACTCCAACTGTCCCTTAACTATTATAACAACAATATCATATACGCTGAGAATACTTTATAGGCACATCAAAAGTATCACCTACAGCAAACAATATTTAATTTAAATTTCATGAATAGGGACCGCACACAGGATTTTGGTTGAAATTTGGAGTAAGGATTTAAGGTAGTCATATGTTGGTGATAGGAATGGTGTGACGAAAGTGTAAGAGTGTGACATTTTTTTCGTATCATAGTTTTCCCAAACAGGTATTTGGACAGAATAGGTTGCCGAACTCCGCCTGCACCGATTTAAGGAGGGTCAGCTGCTGATTGGATGTCATTGTATCCAACAGTGAACATACTGCCATCCATTGATTCGTTTTGCCTGGACTCGATGAGTTACAGGACATCGTGGTATACAAAGCAGCTTATATATTGCTGGCTGAAATACAAACCAAAATATACACAATCCCCCTGAATGTATTTTACAACCACTATTTCTGTAAAAGTGTTGCATGTTCCATGGTTTTCAACGAAACCAGTGAGTAAACAGATCTTAGACATTTACCACTTTGGTGACATCCACGAGTCTGTGGTTGATGAAATCCATCTGTTTCAGTTGTCTTTAGTAAAATCATCTTAAGGTCTGGTGCAGGTTCAATCTCAGGCTATTTTATTAATTTACGGATCCGCCGATCGTAAAAGCCAAGAAAGTATAACAAAAATATAATTCTCAATTAAGATTTTTTCTCTTACTGCCGAGTCGGAAAATCCGTCACAGCAATAAACTATATCACAAATTTGTTCATGCCTATCCCGACAAAAGACAAAGCTCTCCACAACCCTCAAAACGTGTACACGTTGTGCAACAGGCAAGGGACCAGTGTAGGCCAGCTCTCTGTACAGCTGCACTGACATACCATACTCTCAGCTGTATGTGGGTTGTTTCCGCTAACTTGGTTGATGCATGTCATCGATCCCAATTGCGTGGATCGATGCTTATGATACCAATCACTGGATTGTTTGGTCCAGACTCGATTATTTACAGGCCGCCGTCATATAGCTGGACTATTACTGAATGCGGCGTTAAACAACAAACCAACCTAAAACGTATAGGCACCGCTGTAGGGAGTAAGTACGAGCTGCTTATGCTGTGATGAAAGGCAACGCTGGTAGATAAATACCCTACATTTCCTGAGTACAGTGTGTACCTCCTCTGGGGATGCAGTATCCAGGAAACAGATATCCGAGTATTATGCCCAGTCAAAAAAAATAACAAACTTGGTCAGTGAAACTGTGAAATTTGCGACATGACGATTTACGTATAGGGAACGCTGTTGGGAGTAGGAACGATGTGATGACAATCCATGTGTTCCCTGGTTGGAGATAAATACTACTATTTTCCATTCTCTATCGGTCCCACAGGGAAGCCAACACCGACATTATCATTTGTGAAAGTCAGTCACACGCAGACAATAGGTGATGTTCGTCCGATGTTTGAAGATGGTACAATCATATCAGATATCGTGTGTGGAAAGTATGGTAATTCCGGAGAGAGGCACGATGGAATCCACACTGAAGCCATAACTCCAGTTTTCAAAACTGTCAGATTCTGTTACATGTAGAGTTTAACAATTCAGTGCTTTTAAAACATTATTCTGTAGTATATCACGTAGCTCTTTGGCTGAAATATTGCTAATGTGGCGTTAAATGTTAACTCACCCACTAACTAGTATATGAGTGAGTGAGTTTGATTTTACGCCGCTTTTAGCAATATTCCAGCAATATCACGGCGGGGGACACCAGAAATGGGCTTCACACATTGTACCCATGTTTGGAATCGAACCCGGGTCTTCAGCATGACGAGCGAAAACTTTAACCACTAGGCTACCCGACCGCCCCACTAGTATATGACAGGATATGTTCATGACCCGTGAAGATTCCGGGGTAGAATAGGTCTTCAGCAACCCATGCTTGCCGTAAAAGGCGACTATGCTTGTCGTAAAAGGCGGCTAACGGGATCTGGTGGTCAGGCTCGCTGACTTGGTTGATGCATGTCATCGATCCCAATTGCGCGGATCGATGCTCATGATGTCAATCACTGGATTGTCTGGTCCAGACTCGATTATTTACAGACCGCCGTCATATCGCTGGAATAATGCTGAGTGCGGCGTTAAACAACCAACCAACCAACCAACCAGTCATGTAGCTGAGGTCCCTGAGGCAGATGCAACAGTCGAACTAAGAGGTATCCAAGCCAATCAGCGATCTCGACATGAAGTCTTCCCGCCGCCTTGCTATTTCGATCGCTAAAATAATGATAGTCAAATTACAACAAATATTACTTTTGTCAAGTGATGGTATTTATGATAAATGTATCTATTCTCTGACAACTTACTTCGTCTGATCATGGTAGCTGTAAAAATATAGATCTGTTCACACACAATTTCGCCGAAATCAATTTAAGCAATATTCAAAAGATTTCTTTTTAAATTATATACATTAAATGATATATAATGTTAGTAATGGATTCATTGCTAGTAATGGATCTCTGACATCACATGTTCTGCGTTTCATAAGCATCGCTTCACACAACAGACCAGCTTGTTCGTGTGTGCATCGAGCCAATCTGATATTTCTTGAATATCAGTAATTTTACACATATCAGCCAACATGTATGGTATTCGCGTTTCTTTTGTCGGTGAGTATATTCATAGCTTACCAATCAGAGCAATGTGATTTAGATTTAAGCATAACATATAGAATGGGAATACTGATAATTGTAATTTAACCTTGGTGCTGTGTTTGGTTATGACATAGATGTTCATTTGGATGAATGAATATTAAACAATGAGATCGGGAATTATGCAGCCAACCAAAGGCTTTGAATATTGGTGTCAGTTCATACCATCAGTTTCAATTAACTGATCAAATATAGCTTTTGACACGTTAATTCAGGTCAACAGTGTGGCCACTCGGTCATCATTTTGGTGTTTTTTTATGACAAGCATAGAGTTTTAGGTACAAATGCATAATGACATCCACATATTATGACATCCACCCATGTAAGATATATTCGACTCTGTTGTCCGACTTTAGCAGAGATTTCTGTAGAATATGGAAAGGGTTTTGATGCTTTTATTTATATTCTCTCGGGTATGTTTCCCCAAAAAAATTTATGACGTGTTTGAATTTGTCACGTTGTACATTCCACCCACATTAACAACTGACCAAGAATGTGGGTTTATTTCTGATGATGGATCTGATTGTCCCCATCATATCTTGACTACAACCACTTAGCATGGGACATTATCATGTCAACACTAACAAAACTGCACGCCTATTCGGGTATCGTTTTGAGTAACCCTTGCCTTACATAACATATATCATTTGTACGAATCATATTTTTCATTTGTTATCTCTGTTTCAGGTGAGGTTGGCTCATGTAAGTATATATGCTATTTACAATTTGTGGTTTACAATTTAGACCAGTGATTATGAAACCTACAATGAGCACATAGTATTTGATGTATGGTTTCCTTCATGGAGAGACGTCGGTGTACTCATCTACAAGGATATGGTAGACCAAGCAGCAACAACACACAATAACATGTTCCTAATGGCTTGAACCTGTTTGATTACGTTTGTTTATTAATACCAATTGCGTATCGATCACAGATGTGGCTAGTGTAAATACACGTAGTTGATAACAGCGCCTCTTCTGACGCAGTTCCGACCTCACGGACGCGTTCGATCCATTCTTACATTTCAGAATATTTATCTCCCCTACAATTCCCTACTGTTTCACCGTAATTTTGCAGCAAATAATTTCTAGGTACAGAAATAACTGCCACTAAACTCACCTTGCTACTCTTCAAAGTCAGTTAAGAAATAAGAAATATTGAACTCATGACGAAGATGCTACACTAAAGTGACTTTCATCTCAATAAGAACAAACAAACGCCTTACATTTAGAATAAGCATATTATCCTGTTAATATAGTGGCACACTCTATCTCACTAACTGGATATTTGTCACCGTAAAAATATACTTACGTAACAAGTAACTTTTCTGCACATAAAATACTTAACAACATACATAAAAAACATTTATTCTAAAAGGGAACAATGTATCTTTCATTACATATTCATGACGACATCTTTAAGGTCGTGATTCATAGTTCGCATGTGCATTTTTTAACATAAAAATGTGCATAACAATTACACCACCTTTCCACATTTGCCTCTTTCCGCCAGTACATAATCAAATATATCCGGATGTCATCAGACGCCTTATTGGCTTACAGGGAGGGGGGTTCTGTTCACAGGTTCTCCGTTCTCCCATTTTGCACTATCAGCGGGATAAATGTGTTATCTTATATATGCTAATCCGGTGTTCGGTAGGACCTTTCAAGTGTAACACATGCTCGACGAGTGTATTAATCGTGATTAATGTACGATTATGCATTACGATTACTTCAGTACGTTCCGGGTCAGATGTAGGCAAGTAGAGATTCGAACATACGCTCGCAGCTTGAGGACATCGTATGATGGACGACGTTATTTTGAGAGGAAAGGGTCTAGTGAGTTGTTCCCCATAGATGTAGCTGGGCACCACAGATAAATACATTGTCCGAACGATCGCATCCAAAACTGGGAGAGACACTAAGACAATGGCGGTATTGGGAGAAAAGGTACAGATAATATAGACGTGAGGATTATGAGAATATTTCATCATTCTTAAAATATGGGTTAATATTTTTAAAACTTGTACATTTTATGAACATCCGTAAAGAGGATGTACATAATGTTGATATCTCATAAGATATAAACGACTTCTGGTCGTTGTTTATCGTACAATAAAACATTGCAGGGAGGGAGAATAAAACTATCGGAGCTGCGCCCTTCACGATTTATTCTTCCTGCAGTGTTTACTGTACGATAAACAACGACCACGAGTCGTATTTTTCTAAAATAAGCAACAGTTTATTACCATGACCGATAAAAATAGGATTTCGCAGGCATCTGACACCTGAAATATGTTCACAAGCTGAGGCTTTCGAGAGAAAGAAATGCAAATTGAATAATACATGTTTACTTACATCTCAGTACGTCATTCCAGATACACAAAAACATTAAACGTAAGACGCTTAAAAGCTAGAAATATTGGAAGAGAATTTATGTTTGTCAACTTCTTTATTTTGAGGAACATAACGTTTCGCTGTTTCATCAGGAAAATCAGGATTAAGCATACACTCGGAAACGTTGTGTTCCTCATAATAAAGATGACATCCGTAAATTCTCTTCCTTATGTGTATCACTTCCAAATGCCCTTCAAAAACTAGACATATTGGATCACAGATAACGCTATTGTGTGCTGACCTCATTCTTTCATAAGTTATTCAGTATCAGATAGGGCATACCTATTTACACAGACATTGTAAAAATACCGGAATTGTTTTCAGTTTCATGGAGCATGACATGGAAGATAAATACTTGAGTATCGGAGAGATGGAGGGAATACATTCATCACATGCACTACATGTGCACATACGTGGGCGAGATGAAAGTTCAGGGATGGGAGTTAGGACCGTGGAGACGTATGTGTTTGGGTGGGATATAGGGAGGAGGAGATACGTGTGTTGGGGTGGGAGTTAGGACTGGAGCGACGCTGATATTAGGGTGGTAATGTTAGACCTTTGGATGGCGTAAATGTTGTGTTTGGATTAAGCAATGGGGGAGACGTATGTTTATTGTCTCATACCAAAATTGTATGATTATATGAATGCCACATGTATGTATAGCAGTTAGCGAAAAAAACATTGACCACTAGTCTTATTTTAAAACTGACCACCATGAGGAAGTCATTGGGAATCACATAACTACAAAAGATGCACTGCTTAACGTACGCTAGTCTTTGGCCAATACTGATGTTATTCAAGCCTGATATCATTCAGCATACTTTGCCAACTACCGGATCAGTGCAGTTGTTTGGTACTGGTCGAACACTATCCTACTCAGGGTGGATGTTGTTTATCCCTTCATTGGTGCCGTCATGAATTATCTTGTTTGCCGCAGGGGTCTGGCACTGGCTTTATTACAGGCCAAAACACTTTAGCTGACACTCAAACATGTAAGAATGTAATACATCATTGTAAGGAAGGTATACCATGTGCTCATATACTAGTGAGATAAGGACACTAAAACAACAGCAAAGTCACAAATATATCTATTTTACGTTTTGTTTGATCACGTTGCTAATCAGAAACTTCCTCCCTTTGGCCTTGTCGACCTCTCCCCGCTTTCGCCTCCATTTCCATCTCCAGAAAACTGCACTTTACTTTGGTGAATAGGTTTCTGGAAAATATATCCTTATCGCGCATTGATTTATTCTATTGGATTACTGAAATTTCTAGTAGCAGTATAGTCTGCAACGTTCTATCATATAGTGTTTTATTAGTTGATCTATTTCATTCAGGCTCTTGGATTATGCATTATAAATTCGGTATAATCAAGTATTTATACAACGTACTGTCAAAACGTATGATCTGGCTCGACTTGTGTGCTGTATGTGACAGCTACTGTGTCTCACAGAATTGCGATCCAATGTTATACATGGCCACCATTGTTTCGTACAACTCAGGCGAGCTCGAGACTTGTGCCTTGTGTCTCTATTTTCTATTCTTTAAGCCATAACAAAAGTTGCGTTGTTTCACAGTCATATTTGAGTACAGATGCCATAGAAACGTGGTACATTTGTCATATACACAGGAGACGGGGACATACATGGGATATATTCAGTATCATGTGATACATGTGTAACTTAAACAGACGGGGACATACAGGGGATATATTCAGTATCATGTGGTACATGTTTAACTTACACAGACGGGGACATACAGGGAGCATATTCGGTATCATGTGGTAATGTGTCACTTACACAGACGGGGACATACAGGGGATACAATAAGTATCATGTGGTACATGTGTAACTTACATAGACGGGGAGATACAGGGGGATATATTAAGTATCACATGGTACATGCCTAGCTTCCACAGACGGGGATATACAGGGGATATATTCAGTATCATGTGGTACATGTGTCATTTACACAGACGGAGACATACAAGTGATATATTCAGTATCATGTGGTACATGTGTCACCTTCACAGACTGGGACATACAGGGGATTTATTCGGTATCATGTGCATTTGTCATTTACACAGACGGGGACATACAGGGGATATATTCAGTATCATGTGGTAATGTGTAACTTACACAGACGGGGACATACACGGGATATGTTCAGTATCATGTGATACATGTGTAACTTACACAGACGGGGACATACAGGGGATATATTAATTATCATGTGGTGCATGTGTAACTTACACAGACGGGGACATACACAGGATATATTCGGTATCATGTGGTAATGTGTAACTTACACATACGGGGACATACAGGGGATATATTCTGTATCATGTGGTACATTAGTAACTTACACAGACGGGGACATACAGGGGATATATTCAGTATCATGTGGTAATGTGTAACTTACACAGACGGGGACATACACGGGATATGTTCAGTATCATGTGATACATGTGTAACTTACACAGACGGGGACATACACGGGATATATTCTGTATCATGTGATACATGTGTAACTTACACAGACGGAGACATACACGGGATATGTTCAGTATCATGTGATACATGTGTAACTTACACAGACGGGGACATACAGGGGATATATTCAGTATCATGTGGTAATATGTAACTTACACAGACGGGGACATACACGGGATATGTTCAGTATCATGTGATACATTTGTAACTTACACAGACGGGGACATACAGGGGATATATTCGGTATCATGTGCTGCATGTGTAACTTACACAAACGGGGACATACACAGGATATATTCTGTATCATGTGGTAATGTGTAACTTACACAGACGGGGACATACAGGGGATATATTCTGTATCATGTGGTACATTAGTAACTTACACAGACGGGGACATACAGGGGATATATTCCGTATCATGTGGTAATGTGTAACTTACACAGACGAGACATACACGGGATATGTTCAGTATCATGTGATACATGTGTAACTTACACAGACGGGGACATACACGGGATATATTCTGTATCATGTGAAACATGTGTAACTTACACAGACGGGGACATACACGGGATATGTTCAGTATCATGTGATACATGTGTAACTTACACAGACGGGGACATACAGGGGATATATTCAGTATCATGTGGTAATGTGTAACTTACACAGACGGGGACATACAGAGGATATATTCAGTATCATGTGGTAATGTGTAACTTACACAGAAGGGGACATACAGGGGATATATTAAGTATCATGTGGTAATGTGTAACTTACACAGACGGGGACATACACGGGATATGTTCAGTATCA